CCCCAAAACCCCAAAACCCCAAAACCCCAAAACCCCAAAACCCCTCTTTCGCTTATAAATATCGAATCAAAGTTCGTATAATTAATAAATAATCTAATGAATCAGAGCGAGAGGAACTTTATGACAGAAGAAAACCCTCCTGTCTTCAAAATACCAACCCCAAGGAGAAAGAGTGCTTTCAGCCGTATTGAGACCTCTGGCTCTAACCCTACCCACCACTCCCAAACTCCAAAGAGAAAGGCCATTTTCCACAGACAGAGAGTCAGACTCTTAACCCTCATCGCCAAGCTAGTTGAAGACCCTAAGAGCCTCTCAAAAGGGGACAAAGTCCTACTAATGAACCACCCAATTATTAAGGACCTGGTCAAGTACTCCAAGGTGAGCAATTGTGGCTCAGGCAATTTCTATGTTCCTGTTGAAAGTTTGGTCGAGGCTGTTTTTCAAGATGTGGATACTAGGTACACTGGACAATCGCAATCTGGGGTCGAGGTGCTGTTTGAGAAGACTGACGAGCAGGACAGTTTGAAAAATTATAATGCTCAAGGAGATCAATTAATTGCTGTGAAGAAGGATTTCTTTAATTTGAAATCGGGTAATGCCTCAAGATCTTCCAGCTCACCGGGAGAGAAGGTAGGCTTGTATACTAAAGCTGAGAGGAGAGCAAAAATTCTGAAATACCGTCAAAAAATCCAGAGATGGCTGAAAAGAAAGAAGTCACTCTCATTCTGAGATGAAAATACTATGATCAATAAGAGAAGTTCAAAAGAGGCGAGCTGTCTCAGGCCTGGCTCGGAAATTAATTCTCCTACCAGCGGGGTGCTTTTATCTCAGAATGAGGGTGTTCAAAGCCAGTCTTGAGGTCATAAATTTTCTGCTAACTTTGAATGTCTACCACCAAACGCAAATTTGAATGAAATTGTTGCCCAAATCTCGGGATTCCAATAACCTAAAGTTCCTATTATAATTCATTCTAGGAAAGATATCGTGTCTAAATTTGGGGATTTCCTACTATTAAAATTGGATGACCTCGAATGAGGTCTTCCCGACAAATAGGTAAATTTTCTGAGTTCAGCGAGGAAATAAATTGACGGGGTTTTGGGGTTTTGGGGTTTTGGGGTTTTGGGG